AAAAAAAGAAAAAAAAAATCATAATATTACAATTGACACTTGATTACCAAAAGCGGAAACATGTAGAAAAAAACAAAGAAAACTCGGCTATCTTCCGAAAATAGAAATACCTACTTGATTTTGTTTCTAGCTTTACGAAATTACAACCTGAATAAAAAAATGTATTTTTCCAAGAAAATACAAACATCAAGAAAGTGATTGATCACTATACGGGATATATATATATATATAGTTTAGGGAGGCGGTTGCTATTTGTTCTTTTTTCTTGATTTTGTTCTTCTTTTGCAATTAGGCCAACCCATAGTGGTATTTTTTCTAGTTAATCCTCAAAGACGTTACAGTTCTTAATGTAAGAGATGCGTGTGCTCACAGGTGTTATCAATTCTCACACTAGCAGCAGCAAGCTCAAGTGCAAGCATAGTTGACCTTCTGATCAAAGCTGATGTCTCCTTTTGCCCTCAAAAACTGTGTCGTAATTATCAGATTTCAGCTGCAACTGCTTTCTCATCGTGGTTGCTTGTGCTGACCTCATCACTTTCCAATCTCTGGCTTCTCCCCTCGTTAAACACTGACCACTGAGATTTAACCTAGTCACAGAAAAACAACAGTTATTCATTCAAAATTATGAAAACCTCCTTGATATTTGTTGATTATATAAACTACACCAACTCTTTCTGTTTCTTTTCTTCCCTTTGTTTTTTTTCTTATGAGGACAAACCGCAAGGTACATTTTGTAAATAGCCCTAAATTGTACTGATTAACAGTTCAAAAACCGCACAATCGCTACCTGAGAACATGCGGAGCTGAATTTTATGCAGCATTTGGTGAAGATCATATAAATTGCTCGCAATGGTGACTACAGATTACACAAATTACAGATATCTGCTGTTTATGGGTATATAAAACACAGTCGTACCTTACCATAAGTTCCTTGCAACAGACCTCAAGCATATGTAAGTGGATGCCAAAGAATCACAGTAAATGAAGCATGTAAACATGTGTGTGTGTGTGTGTGTGTGCATGTATTTGTGGATACTGAAAATATCTCTAAGAATAGCTACTCAATTGTATACAATTCAAAACATGTCAATGCCGACAAGTCAAATGCGCAACTCAAGTTACTGTTCATTATCTTTTTTCTTGGGAAAGGGAAACAATCGAGCAATCGATGGGAGTCAGGAATCAGCAATTTGGGCTGTATTAAACTAGTAAACAATTAAAAGTTTAAGGTGGGATGGGGGAGGCTCGGAAGCTGGTGTAAAGAAATCAGGTATGTATCAACCGAAAAATTAGGAAAAACGTATGTATGCGACATTGCCAAAAAACTTCCAGAAAATAAATGTCAGCGGTCAATATAATTTACCTTCCAAATCCAATAGAAAGACGAGTTCCCCGAGCATCTAACGTCACTATAACTATATCTGAGACTATAACCATCCATATCATAGAGGCGACACAATATCCTTGCCTTGCACCAAAATGTCCAGCAAAACCCCAAACATCCAAAATATTAAGAAGCTACGCAAATTTCAGGAAGGAAATAAAGACTAGGAAATCACCATCTGTCAAGTGAACTAACTTTTGCACACTATGGAAAAACCATTCTACTTTAAGTTGCTGCAAAATACATTTTATCTTAAATCAAACCATCCATCTCTACTCTTCGGAAGTCTGCCTACAGTGCATTTCTTCCCTCAGTTTACCGGCCATTATTCCGTTGCCCTCTTTCACATATCCATCAATAAATGAACTATAAATCACCAAATCTGGTTCAAACCCTCTCACCGCCATCTCTGCCTGAAGCTCTAAAGCTTCTTCCATCATTCCCTTCCCACATAATCCCCTTATCATACTTGCATAATTCTCCTTCTCCATGGAAACCCTGTCATTCTTTACTACCATCTTCCAAAAACCAATTGCAGTTGAAATTTCATTCTTTTCACACAGCAACCTAACCATGGCATTAACAGTCAAACTATCTGGACTGAAATTCTTCCTGTGCATATCCTTATACACCAGCATTGCAGAATCAGGGTCCCCAACTATACAATACCCATTTATAAGATGCTCAAAAGTAAGACAAGTGCTCTCGAGTCCTTTCATCACCATCTCTCTATAAATCTCCTCAGCTTTTGAAACCTCTCCAAACCTGCAAAAACCACCGATAATCGCATTATAAGACACCGTGTCATGTTGCAAGCCTTGATCATCTATTTCCCTCCATAATCTCATGGCATCCTCCATTTTCCCATCATCACAATACGCAGCCATTAACACATTAAAGCTATACACATTCGGCACACAGCCAACTCTCTCGAATTCTTTCCATAATTCCTCAACCTTATCCATCAAACCTTCTCGATAGAAACCAACCATAACCACATTCAGTGTATTTGCATTTGGAGAAAATCCCACACTGCATCTTCCGTTCCTATCCAAATTCTCAGCATCAACATAAAAAATCTCCCTATACAAATCGTATCCAGCAAAACAACCTCTACTCTTTGAAACCAATTCAATCAACGAGTTGCAAGTATTGGTTCGGAGTAAGACATTCTTCAACTTCAAAGTTGAATAAATCTCAATAGCGAGATCAATCTTCTTCGCTTCTAAACAAGCTACGACCAACAAATCAAACACAAAGGGTGCAGAACCACAAGTTCTATAAGATTTCATCAGTGCCTCAAGAATTGCTAACGGTGTTACCTGCTGAGCTTCAGAAAATGCACAAAGGGCTGATTTTATCACGTCTAGGGCCTCGGACTTGAGCCTTGAGCGAGAGAGGATGTGAATGACGGTGGCGTAGGAGGTGAGAGAGTGTGAAGAGAGAGAGTGCCGGAGAGTGAAGTGAAAGAAACGAAGGACCAATTGAGGATTGTTGCGAATTTGGCGGGAGATAGCGGAAAATTGAGATGGGGTGGTTTTGGTGGTGGCGAGGAGCGAGCGGAGGTTAGACCACCGGCATTTTGAGCGGTGGTGCTTGAGGATTGAGACGGCGGCGCACACCAAATTGTCGCCTGAAACTGGCGTTGTTGGTGGTGGTGCTGATGAGGAGAAGGAGAGAGGGTTGAGGAACTTCCAAAAATAGGGAATTGAGTTCCGGAAAACGGATGCGAAGGCCATCAACGCTCTTCAGGAATTTCATCTAACGAATTTGTGTGCGCGAATTTTTTTAATTGGGAAATTTGAAGTGACCGACAGACGGGTAAATTCGACCCGATGAATCTGGATGGGTTACCTTCCAAGGAGTAGACATGGCCAAGGGCCATCCGGCCCGTCGACCCGGCACGCACCTGACCTGGTCAAATCCGTTGACCACGGTCTGGGACCGGATTGGATTTTAGACAGGCCGTTTTAGGGTCATCAATTTCATAGCCCGTCGGGCCGATCGGCCCGCTTTTCTAATTTTTTTATTTTTTCTATTGTTTCTTTTAAAAAATGGCAGACCCAGCGCAATCAACCGGGCCATTGACCCAGCACGAGTATAAGTCCGTGCCGGGTCCGAGTTAGTGTTCTGGAGCATGGCAACCTGGCCCACCGTGACTCGCCGGGTTTTGGCCATGTCTACCAAGGAGGGCTTGGAGTTTGGGTGAAATAATCCATTGTTTGAAAATTGTCAAAACATTTCTTTGCTGTTACTTGAATATATTTAGTTTAATTAGTTTTATTTCATTTTTTTTTGTTAATTTTTTTTTGGTAAACTATAATGAGGTTTTATTAAATAATATTAAAGTATTATTTTTATTTAATAATACTTTTTAAGCTTTAGATATATTAATATTTAAAATTTATTAAGTTATTTATATTGTAACAAAATAAAACTTGGAAACTAAAATACATAGATTTTCAACCTGGACCGGTCCGATGGGTCATCCAGGAGTCGGGATCAGTTTGGGTGGATGCTTCAGATCGGGTGACAACAAATCCGGCCAATCTAGCATTGACTCAGACATCGACCCGACTTAGTAAACCCGAGTTGACCCAGTCACCATTTTTTTTCAAAATATTTTTTTTATTTTGAAAATAAAACTATATATATATATATATGTTTTTATGGTAAATATTTATTATGAAATCATAACATTAACACTTTGATATACAAAAATTTATTTTATGTTACTATATGATGGGTCTCCTCTCAGATCTGGAGTGAATCAATGGAAACAAGCTCAGATCTGAAATGAACCGATAGAAATGAGCTCAGATCTGCCTCGATCGCCGTCGAACCGTTGTTGAACCGCGAGAACACCTGCAAGAACTCAACGCCGGAGGGGTTTCCGGCGTAGAGCCTCCGACGCTCAAGTCAGTATGTGAAAGAGATGAAGAGAGTTGCTCTCAGAGAGCAGCAGCAGTAATGGAGGAGAATATAGAATGAATAGGAGTTAGGATTTTGGGGTTACCTCAGCTCCTTTATATAGAAGCAAAACATTTACCTGAAGTTTCCAAAACGCCCTGGCCGACTTACTGGAAATGTCTGAAATACCCTGGTCGGTTCGCATTCCGTCCATCTCCTAGTCATCACCTAGATTTCTTCTTATCCTTAATAGCTTCCTCCTTATCCTTAACAGCTTCCCTATCATATGTTGAAGTATACCGGAATCGTCGGAGATCTATGAGCTCCGAGACGTCTTAAGTCGACTCGGGATATTAACTCGAGTCGACTGGGTCATCGATATATTGAAGTATACCGGAATCGTCGGAGATCTATGAGCCTCGAGACGTCCTCAGTCGACTCGAGACATCGAGTCGAGTCGACTTTACTATCTTCCATTGTCAGTAGATCTTGGCAGACCGGAGATATTACAAGTCCGCGGGAGGAGTCGACTTCGGGTAAATCGACTTGATAATATTTGGACCGTTATATGACAGTGTGGCTATATCATCTAGTCCCCCAAAAAAATTACTCGAACCGATTCTGAGCTTAAGAGTAAGTTATGACGACTGAGTATCTTGCTTGGATCTCCTTCATATATCTTGTCGTTTGTCGTTGTTCTAAGTCGTGTCCACTTGCTGTTTCGACTCGTAAAACGGCTCGTCTGCCTTATAAATTCCGAATTGATTGGATAGGTCTAAATCTTCTTTTCAAATTTCAAAATTCAAAAAAGGTCTTGAACATTGATAAGACGCTTTCTCTCTCCACCGCTTCGTATTCCGTGCACCATCTCAACCGTTGGATTTGGCTTTAATCTGAGGGCTAGGTTTTCTCTGCCCTCCCTATAAGTACTCCTCCCCTTTTCTTGTCTTCACTTTTCGCACTCAAGACTTTTTGAACACTCTGCTTCTTCGGCAAATACAGCATCTCAAGCTCTCCGGCGCTCACTTTACTTTCCGACGTTCTTCTTGAATTTTTCAGGACTTCTCCGTCAATTACCATGTGTAAGTCTTCTTTGCTTTTCGATTTATTACTGTGTACGATTTTTTTCTTCCTCTCTCTTTTTTTTTTTTTTT